AGACCTCAGTCAGGAAAAGTTGCTGTCTGTGTGACAAAGAAACTCAAGTGGGGACCGAGGGCAGAGGCCGAAAGGCAGAGCCCCGCCTGGGGATGTCCCCACCACTCTGGAAGTGGCTGCTGGCTGGCACCTCAGGAGCAGGCAGGCAGGAGAAACGCACCCACTCCTCAGGGACAGAGATACCTGTACCTCCCCCCACCCAAGGCCCACCTGTCTAGAGCCTGGTGGGGACCTCAAGGCCCACCTGTCTAGAGCCTGGTGGGGACCTCTCTCCCCCTACTCTACCCACAATTAGGGACTGGCCCACATATCTGCCCCTCTGTCAACCAGTCCTGCTGTCACTCTGTGCTGTTCTGACACACAGCAATGGGGTGAAACAAGGCTCCTTCCTCCTGCCGGTCAAGGACGCTTACTGCCAAGGATGACCAGAGAACAAGATGATTGAGGTCACACCTGCCCCCGCCCTCACTGCTGCCCAAAGGGTCCTTGCCTAGCTCTTCAGTGCCACTTTCATCCATCACCGTGACAGCCCCCACCCACTGTTCTCCCAGCAACTGCTCTGGTGATGTGTGTGGCCTTTCATCCCATTGCTGGGTGAACCTACCTATCAGAAGCCCCAGGAGAGGGGCTTGGGCAATGGGGAGTGGACAGACCTGGCCTCATAAAAAGAGTAACGAGTGGTGGCCGCAAGCTGTCCCTGCCACCAAGACTATGGCTCCTCAGCTTGAAACCTAATAGGCTGGTGTGCGGTGGGAGCTCTCTTGCCAGTGATCTGTGTGGCAGGACTGACCTCTCCCCAAGCAGAAAAACACTCCACGCCATCCTCACTCCTCACCCACCAGTGCCTTACCTCCCCACCCAGGATGGAGAGCCTGTCACCGACCCCAGGCACTACCACAGCCCACAGCGGCTGGGGTGGCCTCACCCTATAATGGCCATGGGCTCCAGAAAGTGGCCCAATCTTTTAACCAACCCACAGCCTGGAGAAGCAGTTCTCTCACTGCCACCCAGCTGGGGGCCACATCTTTCCCTCCTTGCAGTGTGAATGAAGACCCTTCTGAGCCCACCAGCCTGGGCCATGCTCTTCCTGCCTGCCCAGTGTAGTTCCCAATAGTGTGTTCATGTGGTAGAGTAGTAGTACTCCAGCCACCTCGGCGTCCGGGTGGAGGGAGGAGTGGGCCCTTGGTAACTGGTCAGAGAAAGCATTTAAGGGGTGGAGTAATGTGAGCTTATCCTAATTCTACTCCACAGAAGTCAAAAGGAGCCTGTGAGGCAGGGCGGGCAGAAGATGTCTGCAACTCCTGAGCCAACTCAGAAGGTGAAAACTCTTAGTCAGTTTGCTGGAGTGAGGGAGGGTGTTCCTTGGTGAACATGGGTTGTAGGTTTGTGGGACTCACCTAGAAGGAGGTACTTCCAGCAGGTCATGGAAGGTTCTTGACATGGTTGAGTTCAGGGACCACTGCTGCACTTACTGTACTAACACTGCACCTACAGTGGGAACATGAATGCCCAAGTCCCCACAGGGTGTGTTCCTAATGTTTCCTGCAGAAACCACACTTGTCATGTCATTGAGAAGAGCTGTCAGTGTCCACCTGACCCAGTGTTTCACAGAACGCTATAGGTGGAAAAATATCTGAACACCACATTCCTTACTGCAAAATATTGTCTGTATGGCTTAAGTTTGTGAGGAATGAGTGTTTTTCAGAATCAGACTCTATCTTGTACTACATTTTCATATAGAGGGTAGCAAGCACCACTACTCAAGAGATATTTATGGGGGAGAACTTACATTGTGAAAATGCTGTAATTATTATTGTCGTCGTTGTTGTTGTTAATAAAAACCCTAACAAACCCTCACACTCATTGCCTTTGAGTTGGAAGCCACTCCTAGCTGACCCTCAATGAGTTTGAGCTTTGTAATTATTAGTATTCTACAAGTTAGGAAGAGATACTAATTGGGTGATTTTCAAGGCAAAACACGTGGGTTCAGCTTGCTTTTCAGTGGGAGAAAGAACTTAAAAATTGCTAAATTTCAACTCCTTGTTAAAGGAACTTGACTCTTCTTTGGGAGAAGTGCAGGACTCACACACACTTGCATATCGCTCCAGGCATGGACCTGGACTTGGGACTTGCGGTCCAGCGTTCTTTTCGCTATGCCCTGCTTGAGCTCAGATGCCATTTCCCATCCCCTGGTGGCTGATTCAGCTCCTTGGGAACAGTCCTGAGTTTTTGACAGAGCAAGTCTTAGATCTGGGACCTCATCCTTCCTTCCCTGGGTTGTAACCCACTGACCTATCAGAAGGAGGAGGGGCACCCCAGCCTGTGTCTCAATTTGAATCAGACCTCTCCCCATGTAGCCCCAGGCTGAAGGGGTCTCTGCCTCTGTCCTGTAAAATGCTGGTGCCTTATCAATAAATGCCTCTGTCTTTGTAATGTCTCCATATTGCCAGCTCTCCATCTGGTTCTGACTTCTTCAGGGGGTTGTCTGGGTGCTGAGAACATCGGTTACTCAGTCCTGGAGTCCACAGTAGGCTAAGAACTGGGTGGAAAAGTGAACCTCTGTGGGGTCTGAATTGGGAGAAAATAGAATTTGTTTTAGAGTGAGAGAGTGTGAGGGTAAACCATCAGCCAATCAAACACTTATTAAATATATCATTGGGAGCCCGGGAAAATGCACACTGAAATGCCAAATAAAGCCAATTCTAAGAGATAGGAGCTCTGGTGGCCTAGTATAGAAGCTGTGCTGCAATTTCAAACCTCTACAGTTTGAATCCACCAGCTGCTCCTTGAGAGAAAGATGGGTAATCTCCTTCTGTGTGACTAACTGCCTCTGAAAACCCACTGAAGAGTCAACTGAGGTTCGATTCCGACTTGATAGCACACAACCACAAGAGCTAGGACAGTCTTCCTTCTGATAGACTAGAATGGAAAGTGTACCACCTGGGATGAAAGCTGAGATCAATCAGAAAACGATTCTAAAGAGGGTCTCCAAAGTGATTTCCAAAGGGAAAAAAAAACCTGCCAGAAGTTGGCCAATTAAACAATGACGTAAACTTTGCTCATGGTGATAAAAATGGCTCATACTTACATAGCACTTACTTTGTGGCAAGCACTGCTATAAATAAACACTTTATGCAAACCAACTTGCTTTATTTATGCTTCTAAGAACACTTTGGGATATGGGCTATTATTACCTGCAATTGACAGAGGGGAGAGCTTATGCAAAGTCATACTGATGGTAAGTGAATAAAGACAAGATTCAAACTTTTTGTAGGTGACTCCAGAGACCATTCATTGGCTGCTACACACCCTACTACTGCTACTGAGTTGAGGGGCCTGGCAAAAGGCAGTCTCACCAGCTGGCCATTAAAAAGGACACAAAGGATATTCCCATTCCTGAAGCAGGTCCTGAGATGGGTAAATTGGAGATGCTGGAGTCAGTAGTGCCAAGCTGGGCTTCCCTGATAATCTTAAGAGTGAAAGCCAGGGCGAGTACGTATGTTGTGCATTAGAAATGGCAGCTGTGCCAGTGAAGGATTGCCAATGACTCCTAGGATTACCCAGGCTCTCAGGGAGCCCAGTGGACTTAGAGCTGATCCCTAGGAAATTGAGGTTTATTGATAAAGGACAATTTCACTAAACACAACAAACAAAGATAAACCATGGACTTTGCTCCATAGTGTGTAAAGGAGGAGATCAGGCCCAACTAGTGTATTTCTTTGGGGCAAGTTGGTCTGAAAGCCTATGGAATTTTTTTCAAAAGCATTTGAAAAGACTTCAACCCCAAAACTAAAACTTATCACTTCAAGATGAGGTGGATGTGGAAGAATTAGGGATGGAACATCAGTGTTAATTTACTATGAGAAATATATAGACTCAAAGAAAGGAACTCAACTAGTTTTATCATTAGGCACATCTTTATGTGGAGTTGTGTAAAGAATACAGCTTTTAACACTATCAGGAAAATCATGTTTAGCACAGATGATCTAAAGAAACAGAAAATCTCCAAAGCTGGGCATTGTAATTAACTTTTCTGGGTAAGATAGAAGGAGTGAACCTTGGAAAGACAGCAGAGATGTAAGGTGATTTTAAATTTCTATATTGAAAGTCTTGATTCTTTACCTATACTATTCCACAAGGTAATCACTGGTTATACGGATTACATGTAAATATCAAGAAAATAAAAAGCTTCACCACTAGATCTATAGATCTATAGCCCTGGGTGGAGCAAACCTGATATGACCTGGTTGCCAGAGAGAGAATGGTGCTGCATGCGCGGGTGTTGTGGCAGTTTTTGCACACAAAGGACTACCCTGACTCCAGGAGCCAGGCAAGCCAGGCTTGGCCTAGGGTTTAAGGCAGCAGGGGGCTTCAAGCCCAAAAGGGGAAGAGGGCCACAGGCCCTGCGGCCTGTCTTTCATTGTTTTTGTTCAGACATTTCTCTAGGTCATATAGCCCTGGTGTACAATTTGCCGGACAGTGGTCACTTGTGGTTGCTATGAGGCTGACCACTGTGACACTGGTGTGTCAAATTTGTTAATGGTTGACTACCCAATGTGGACAGAGAGTGGGGTGGAGCTTCCTGATGAAAACAAGCTTGGAAGGAGGAGTGGCATCCACTTCCAAAATAGCTTGCCTCTTGAAACCCTATGAGCATGGAGAGAGGATGAAAGGCACCCAAGCGT